GTGTACCAATTGCTTGTACCCCTTGCCTGGGCACTGGCATTTGTTCATTCACTAAGTGAGTGTAAAAGAAGAAGCCGATCTTGATTGCTTGTCAATTTGTAACTTATGCACAAAGGACTCCTAGAGTGTGGGTAACGTTTTTTGGTTTTGGTAAATGAATACGTATATTCCAGTAAAAAAGGAGTAAATTAACACAACACAAAACAACAGTCAATAATTTACATAACACATTTTCACAGTATTTCCGCAATCTTTGCGTCAATAAGTAACACTTCAGTATTCTGATTATAATTAAATCTGAATAACTTTATCTTTCCTAAATCTACTTTCCCACTACATATGATCCACCTTTCTACCTAGAGAAAGTTTCCCAGTAATATGTGCTTAATTCATTTAAGACATGTGAGAATAAGATTTAATCTTAAACATGAATTACAATTTGCTAACAATTTAATATTAGTCTTACATTTCCTATTCATATTTCAATGCCAGCAAAATTTCCCATCAGTTACATGATCTTAATTACCAATATTAATTCAAAGAATTATGGACAATATGCGTTTTTATTAGTTGATCCCCATTTTTCTTCCAGATCGTCTTCGGGTGTTGTTGCGAACTCATTCAAGAATTGCTTCGGCGTGTACGGATCTCATCGTCAGACTTTTTAAACGAGGTATAAATCACTCACTGAAATGGAGGATAGTTATTTATGATACGAGTGGTAAAAGTGACATTTTGATTTGCAAACTGGAAAGGTTGCGACATGAGGTCGATGGGCATAGTGGCGCAGTCCTACGAGTCACTCACAATTTCAGGTAGCCTTACTGACTTATATTTTACTTTAATTCAAGTATTTGAATTTACATCAATTAATTGTGTACTATGTTACGTTAAGGGCGGTATTACCTGACGCACGTAGACAAATGTATTCAGGTTTCATTGTGACAATCACACTGTTTTATCTTAACATTTGAAAATCGAGTCCCTTTTGGTACTAGTGCTGACCATTTGTATTTTATTCAATTCAAATAGAAGCTACAACAGAATATGTAAATAATATTTTTTCAAAGTAGCCTCCTAGGCTGATGTTCCCATCTGATATCTGCATTTCATGCACTTGTTCCTACGGATACATAATTTAAAATTGCTTCTCAAGCAGATCAGATTTATTTATTCGATTGCTTTGTTCACACGCATTGTATACTAATAAAATAATGTTGTGCCAAGCGTTTTACAGATTTTCATATTAATTACTTAAAATATGTTGACTTTGGTTACCTGTTCTCATGTTCTCACAATAATCTTGCCAAAAGATAAGAACATCATTGTTTTTTGTCAATGTTAGTAAAATTCACAAAAAGAGTTTTGAATAAAGACTTTAATGAGAACATGAGCATAAAACGAGGCATTTTTTAAAATTCCGTGATTAAAAGGTAAGTCATTGATTCGTTTTTGTAATGTCTATCTCGGGGGCAGAGAGTGTTTCCACTCAAGGGGAAAAAAATCATGATCCCACGAGAGGGCTAGAGGATAATTTTGAATTGCCAGCCTTCATTACGTTCCAAACACCTCGAGCTCGTCGCAGCGAGGCACCAGCACGAGCGCTGCTGCGACAGGCGTGTATAAACCGAAAACCCACGAGCGCGCATCGTCCGTCGGGCAAAAGCCAATCGTGGCGACTTCGAGCGAAGGCCTCGGGCGCCTCGCCCCGGGGGCAGCACGCGCGTTGTCACTGCCAGCTCCGCGGCAAGCCCGCCCATGCTCCTCGCCCTCACCGCCGCGCCGGCCCCCTCGGCTCCCCGCCCCGTCACGTCCGCACTGGACCGGGCCGCACCCTCCCCATCATCGCATCAGCTCGACCTCTCACCCGACCAGGCCCCTCCCCACCCCTCCACTCCTCGTCGCGCTTCGACGGCTCGCCGTCGGCACCCCGCCCCGCCTCGTGTCACACCAACCCACCCGGCCCCGCCTCGTCAGAATAGCATGGCTCTCCGATATGGGCGAGGGATTGCACCAGGAAACCTAAGGCCGCCGGAGGACGTGGTGCCGGTCTATGACCTTGGCGCTACCTGTTTCAAAATTTCGATTTCCATGCTGGAATGATTTATCGAGTGATTTCTAATTCCAGGCTTCGCATCAACTGCTAAGATCATAAATACCGTAAGAGTACAACATGTTTTTTGCGGCGGGGGGTGAAATTAGATGCCGAGATTCGGCGCAGTCTTGCCCGTTGGCTTGCGGGGTGTTCCTCGCCCAGATGCGGCGGGGCACCGCCCGCTGGGCGAGCCGTCCGCTTCCGACTGGCCTCCCGGCGCATGTGGCAGTGTTGTGCATGTTAATGGGAATGACAAGAAAGGATCGCTCGCGGTCCAATTGTTAGCGAACTGCTCCGGCATTCGCCTGGTGTTAATAGGAGAAACTACGGTAAACTACCGATCATAGCAGCTGGCCTCTACAATTCTTTAGTAATTTAATCATTTTTGATTTTTTAAATTGAACCGAATAATTTTCACAATTTCAATAGATAGATCATAAAAGAGGAATTCAATGATATAACATATGTTAAGATTTTGGTAATACTATTTCGAATATAAATTATTGCGTACTTCGAGTCATAATGTCAAAGAATCAGGACATTTCCTCTTATAGAAACAGTAGTACTAGTATAGTTTGATTTATTTATGTTTCCGTTGACGTTTGATCAGCTGTTAAGGTGTCAACCAATCCAAAGCTTGAACGTTACTTCTTTTCGTGCCATTCAAACTCCCGATTGGATAACACCGTAGCATCTAATTTACGTCTACGAACTTAATGTTACGAATTAATCGAAGTATAGATTATTCTTCACTCTGACTTATGCAGAAACTTTGTCTGCCAAATGAAGTTCTGGGAAATGTATGGTACCCCTAAGAAAGAGGTACTATGCACTGATCTTTGAATTTTTACAGATTCCTCTTAAGCAAGACGCAAAAGTAAGTTATTCCCAGTCCATCGCGCTCTTCTTTCCATCGCGTTTTTCGAAAGGTCCTCTCTTTCGTGAGCATTCAATCGAACGTCCGCGCATTGTCCGGTGCGTTTCTGCCCTGACAGAAGCACATCGCTCGCGCGGGCGTGGGCGGCGGCGTGGGCGGCGTGGAACCGGACCAAGGCATCGCCGCCTCCTCCGGATTCGCCTCCGCGCCGCACCGGAAGAGGTGGCTCAGGGCAGTTGGAGTCTCGACAGTGGCTGGATTGTCGACACTAGCTTGTCAGCTAGGTCGAATTGAGTCGCTGTCTGGAGGAGAGTTATAGAGACCGGATGCTGGGTCGGTAGTTTTCCGTGGTTTCTCCGATCAACGCCAGGCGAATGCAGGAGCAGTACCCTAACAAACGGGCCATGAACCACGGGCGACCTCGCCTTCCTCTTCGTCCTATCCGCCTCGCCTTACACACACACACACACACACACACACACACACTAGCACGCACTACACGCTTGGAGCTTGTCCCGGCTGGAGCGGTGACCCGCTGGTGGGAGGTACCTGGTTGGTAAAACATAGCTAGCCGACGATAGCCGCATCTCACCATACAGGAGTGAGGCGAAGATCACCACCACCACCACCCTAACAAAAAACCTATACTACACTTACGAAGTAATGAGCGTACTAGTTGAACGCTGGTAGTGCCAGGAATCACTAAAACAATCAAAGCCTCCGCGCCGCCTTCACCGCCTCCGTCGCCGCCGAGGTGCCGCAGTTGCCATCAATATTGAAGCTAGAGATGTATTACTTAATGCAATATATGTATTAGTAGTGTGTATGTGTAGTGTTATTAGCAGTATATGTGAGTAGATTTTTAAATAACGTTTTGAAACTATTAAAATTTTTTGCGTTGTTTGAGCAGGGAGTTCAAATGTCACTACTGTTGGTGTCATCCAAGTTGATTTTCGTGAGCGAAGTCAGTGCTTAATCGAAAGAATTAGTTATTTCCGAACAATCGTGCTCTAGATCGTCCTCCCATAGCGAGCGTTTCTGCCCCCGCGAGCGGCGCACATCGCTCGCGCAGGCGTGGGCGGAGGTGTGGGGTCGCGAGCGCGACCACGGCGGGCGGCGCCGCCGCGCCGGGCCGCCGCACTAGCCTCCGCGCCGCCGCGCCGCCGGCCGCCGGCGCGCGCCGCTCCGCCAGTTCGCGCGCGGCCCTCCGTCGGCCCGCTCTACCTCGTCCTAGCCACGGCGCCCCGCCGAGCCGCTGCGCCCGGGGCGGCCGCCCCGGACGCCCGACGCGCCCGACGCCGCTCCTCTCCCCGCGCGGCCCCGGCGCCCTCGCGGCCTCTCTCGGAGCTGGCTGCCCCCTTCGGGCCAGGCAAGGCCACCTTCGCGTGCTCCCTTGGCCACTCCACCCCTTATAAAATCCAAGGCGCACTCGGCCGAGGCTCCACCCCTTGGTCAACACACAAACAAATTCAGCAGCCTCTCTTCGCGTCCCTCTCTTTTTTTTCTGCGCCGCGGCGGCTGGCCTCTGTCTTTCTTCTTGTCTTCTGTTGCACGAGGGGCGTGCTCCGGGCGTCATTAAGAAAAGACTGAAGAGGAAATGAGGACTGCAATTGGGCGACTGGCAACTTTGCAAATGAGTATTGATCGTCCGTCGTCTTGGTCGTGGTCGTGTGTGCTGCTGGGTGGCGCGCGACGCGCGGGGGAGGACCAAGAGGAAGAAGAGGAGGAGGAAGAAGGCGAAGAAGAAGAAGGGCCCTAACGCCCCCCGAAGGGCGTCGCGTCCCGAGGCACGGCTGCCGGCGCCGTCCCTTTGCGTCCGCGGAGTCGCGGCGAGCGCGGCCCGGCGCGGCCCGACGCCGCCGGCTTTTGTCTCGGCCTCCGACTCGCTCTCTGGCTCGCCTCCCTTTCCGCCCGAGGCACCCCCCCCCCACCTGTTGAGCGGAAAAAAGTGGGGACCGGCAAGGAGAGCCGCTGCTGACTGAAACGGTTTGCAAAGAAGGGGCGACCTTCTCAGGTGCAAACGAACAATTATATAACCTAATATTGATGTTTGAGCCGTTAGAGTGTAGTCGGCTGCCCCCTGGAGGTAGTACGTTGCTGTCATCTGCCTAGTTCACGGCCCTTCCAGTAATTTGTCATCCGCCGTTTACTGTGCCGGTACTTAAAGACTTGTTGGGCCGCGCAGGATTTGTGTAAGGCGGCCATCCGTCAGTGTCAGTCGTAGGACATCGCGTGTGCGCTGTGCAGGCATACGATTCCGACTGTGGGAGTGTTGAGTCGGAACCTTACAGCGACTGGTTTGAACTCGTACAACTCCGACCGTGGTGAACCCGTTTGTGTCCCAGCCGGAACTTGATAGTGGCCGCCATGGCAAACGATGGTTTGTCCGATTGGGGCTCCGGCAACGGGAGCTGGCCCGCGGTCAACGCGTCCACGGCGTCCCCGTGGCCGGAGGAAGACGACGATGGGTTCATGGAAGACTACGAGTACGACCTGGAGACGGCGATGGGCTTCTTCGACTGGTGGGAGCTCGTGCCCACGCTGGCCGTGTACGCCATCACTATGCTTTTGGGAGTGGCCGGCAACGCGCTCATCATCTTCACGACTGCGCGCTACCGCCGCATGAAGTCCACCACCAACGTGTTCCTGTGCAGCCTCGCGTCGGCCGACCTGCTGCTGCTGCTCATCTGCATTCCTGTCAAGGTAGCTCCTTTTTGTAGCAGTCTTTACGTAACTTGTTTGTGATTTTACAGGTGTCGATCAGCGACGTTATGTGGGCAAAGTAGGGGTGAAGCTCGACAGACTTACAATTGTTAATACGTGTACTAAGTAGTATATTTGTGTGTCAAATTTCAAACTCATGTTTCAAACATTTATATGACATTCAGGATTTCTATGAATTGTGATTCTTAGTATTCATCATTCATTAGTACTGGATTCTTTGTACTAATGAATGATGTCAATGTCTTGTTTGTATTATTTGCTTCTCGTTCGACAAATTGGTTCTCTCAGTATTAGAGCCTACGTTATTGCGGATATTTAAGATACGCCCATTCTTAAGTGAAGATTGTTTTTTCCCTGGATATTAAAGAAAAGAGGACGATTATTCTAATACGTAGATAGTGCGAATCGTTGGGTGTTAAAGAGATGCTGAGAGATTATAAAAGTTTCGCGTGTTTTCGCAAATTTTGTTATGTTGGGGCGCAGAAACCTTTTGTTTGAGATTTACAGTTGTCGAGGCAGCGGCGTAGCGTGGTGTCAGCCGCCCGGGGCGGGGGAAGATTTCGCCGCCCCCTTATATTTAAAGACTAAAATATAAAGCTTGAACAACGTATCAGATAGTCAAACATACAATTACATAAACTTAAAAAAAACTTACGTAAAATATTTAATGCAAAGTCGAATGTATACGTACACGAACAATACAATTTTCAACAAAGTTCAATAAATCACCACATGTACTTATGAACACTAAAACCACGAGGAATGCGCGTTTATATAAACTATTAAGTTAATGTGACTTGGATGACTGACGATCCATCAATGAAACATTTTTTGAATTGTCAAACTGTCACTCACGGCCTTCCCTGAAGGGACTTATTCGTATTGTAATCTAATTTTCGGATGTTACTGTACAATAATGATGTACCTATGCTTTATGTCAGAGAATTCATTGTCGTTTAATAGTAGTCATAGGCAATCCAAGCACAAAATAAAATAGGGTAATCCTTACATGTTAGTACAAACGGTGATTCCATTTACTATATGTATTACCAATTTCAACAAGCATGATGCCGTAATTATACTTTCATTTAAAGAAGTCGCAGAATAAGTAAAGAAAGATTCTGTGCTCATTTCTATCGGTCCGAAACTTCAGTGTGACAAAAATATAAAATGAAACGGTTCACTTTTTCCACAAGATATTACTATTATTCATTGTGAAATTTTGCTAAAGTGCCGCCTTGGGGGGGGGCGGGTCGCCCATGCCGCCCCCGCTACGCTGCGCCACTGTGGCGATGACGTTGTGGCTTGGTGAAGCTCTCAAGAACTAGAATGGCTAACATGTGTAGTAAATAGAATATTAGTGTAAATTGTAAAACTCATGTTTCAAACATTTAAGTGAAATTCAAGATGACCGTGAATTATGATATATTATTGGATTCTCTGTGCTAATGAATTATGTCAAAGTCTTCTTTTTATTATTTTGCTTCTCGCTCGACAATTTATTTTCAGTATTAGAAGCTACGTTATTTCGAATATTTAGGATACGCCCACCCATAAGTCGAGTTTTCCTTGCCGTAGAAGTTACACAGGTTTAACTTCTGGGAATCTTGATTTAATGCGAGTGTGTGTTGTCTCTACTCAAGTTAAAAACATTACCTAAAGCAGGAATAATCATCATATCCATAGTTTGTTAAAACTTACATCAAGAGTTAAATATTCTTTAGACATTGTGTTAATGTTTCAAGTTTTTATCACAAGATTCACTTTTCCAGAACTTCCTTGATATCCCTTCATATTTACATTAAACATTTTATTACTTTATATACTTATTTTATAATGTCTATTATAATTACATTGGGTTATACATACTCTTTTTATAGTTGGTGTTTAGTTCCAACACTGATGGTTATTTTTTTATTTCATTCAAAAAGTTATATGCAGAACCATAAAGCTAAAGGAAACCAAATTAATGTTTACTTCTTTGTTATAGAAAATTGATTGGATGATGTAGTGCATGTGGTTTACCGAAAACGTTATTCAAGGTTGAGAAAAATCATATTTCAGTGATTCGCAGTGTTATAAAGCATTTATATCCATATTCGTCCAAGACGAAGACTAATTTTTAATTTATTGGCATCGTTCTTCAACTAATAAATTATCTTTGTAAAATTTTCTTTGTAAAAAACTGCGAAAAACAAACTGGAAAATTTATGGGACAGCCTCGATTAGTCAAAGTTGTCTTGTTGAAATAGTTAAATCTAAAAATGTTAGTAGAATCACGATCAAAATATCATAGTGAAAAACATTTTGATGCTGGATTTATACATCTGATTTGATCTCGTAGAATAGCTTAACTGATTCGAATTGTACATTTTATGTTCATAATGTATTCAGATGTTTTTTTGCTTAATGTGAATGTGTAATAAATGTGAACGCTGTTTTGTTGCTTGTGATTCGAAACCCGATATGCGTTTAGCTATTCTGTCCTTACAGATAGAAAAATAGTTTTGCGTTTCTGTCTTTTGATGCGCATTAAACGGAATTTTCGTCTGTCTTCGTTTGTGATGATGGATCGTGGCATGTATCCACCAATGGCAAATGGAACCTCTTTATCTGTACCTGTAATTAGGTTATATCGATGTGTCAGATTATTGTGAAATAAACCGAATCCCTTGATGTCTGTGGGAAAGTAAGTTTTTGAGGACGAAGTCATTTTATATGGGTGTAAAGGTGCATTATTATTATCGTAATAAAGTCAATAAATTCAAGATCTATATTTGATTTAGCTAGTTGAACACTTTTGTGTTTTCTTATATTTCATTTTCACATTTTGTAATTAAAATTAACTTTCTAAAGTTGCCAAACTGCATTTACATTCTGTTGTAGCTCTTGTTGAAATAGATTAATATATCAATGAAACGTGATGTCATAAAATACTTTTTGGTACAACTATATTGTTAATTGTGTTATACTACAAGAACGAAAAATAAAGAGTGTTTGTTTTTCATTTTCCTAAAATCGCCTGCCGATAATAGCAAATAACGTGAGTCCCACCAACTCTGCCCCCCCCATAACGTCTATCAACTGTTCGTTATATCGTTATCGCTCAACAATGCGTCGAAGAGATATACCTGGAAATATTTTTAATTTTCGAGAAATGTTATTATCTTTGATTTTTAAATGAAACCGTGTATTTTTCGCACCAGCAATTGATAGATAGTAAGTAGATGAAGTAAAGTGTGTTAATGTTTTGATAGTATTTTGAGTACAAACTTATACTTGTGGAACGTGTGATTTTAAATTTAATGTGCAAGATTTCGAGTTGCAACTCTTGTGTTGCTCTTTTGGGGAAGGCAGCCTTCGCGGCGCCGGCACTTTCGCGGGAGACGGCGAGGCCGCCAAGGCCACAAAGGCGACAGTTGCAAGGGCTGCGTCGGGACCTAGAGCTCGTTTAATTTAAAGTCACATCTCAGAAGTTTTTACTCAAAATACTATTAAAACATTATATGTCACAGCATCCACTAATGTCTCAATTTTTTAAAGATTATAATTAAATGGAAAATTTTAAATTACTTTTATAATAATCTTGAAATTTTTCGTCATGTAAAAGTATTCTTGTGAATCTTGAAAACATCTTTTTACGGTTTAAGTAGTCCATTTGTTATCGGAAGTCGCGTTTACTTGTAACGAAAATTCAATTTTGTTTCACATGCTCTTTATTTGTTAACTCCGTTGCACATTTGAGGCTACTGTGTATCGCTCCGCGACTATTCAATCCAAATATTTTGTGACAGACATCAATTTTGCAAAAGAAAAATACGGGACCCACGATAAAAGTCTTGGCTTTCGAGTTAATACTCGTCCTTTCCGATAACTCGATTGACAAGTTATCCATCGAAATGACGTTCATAATTAGTTTCTATATTGATTGAATTTTAATTGTCGTACTTGATTCTAGGACATCTTTCGAAAAAATTCACATTTTAACATTATTTTATGCTTCTTTACACATTACTCCGATTTTACAGTGTTTAAGGTGTAGCTGGAGTCTGAGCAGGAAATGCAGTTCTCGCTTTTAGTTAAGAAAAGAGATTGTGTTCTATTCTCTTTCCGATATTATATTTCCTCAACTTAATATAAAATTTGTGACAATTTTATAGCTGGCACACGAGGAGGAACATACAATTCCAAGACAAACAATGACATGCTCAATAACATAATGAATAAATATTCAAAATATTTTGAAATAAAAATAATTCACAAAGGAAATTTAGCATTTCTAGTAAATGTTTTATTTGAATAGTGAACATAAAACAAAGACGTATGGGGAAAAACTCACTTTACGACTGTAATAATACCATTCACGGAGTAAATTAATACTTAATGCTACTTTCACTACAACACAACATACTGTAAATAGGAACCTACTGTAGGTTATTGTGCGAAATATGCACTGACGTAGTTAATGGCATTGTTTGATATAATGCAGGACAACCAGTTAGGACTAAAACGTTTATCTCGAAATTCTCGTAATGAATTACCATATCAGCATTTATTAATGGATATGACGACACAGTATGTAACAACGCGTCGGTCTTTACGTGGTTTTTGGGGACCCTGACAGAAAAATGATTGAATGTTGACTTTACTATATATAGGGTCGTGTAAGTCGGTTAATGCAGTTGAGATCAATTCATTAAAACCTCTTCTCTTCAAAAATGTACACATATATTATTTTTTATATTTCTATTAGCTTTGTTAGCCATTAAAAATACATACTGAAGGAGAAATTATACGTATAGTTTAGCATCAAAATTCGAAATAACTATTTGCAAGTAGCAAACGAATTGAAGTTAACCCATTTCACAACATTAAACACTTGAACAGGTTTGGTGTACAATATTCTTTATACCGACAATCGATTACAATAAATAATTTATAATTCTCTTCCAATTGGCATTACAGTAAACAAATTTCAGTGTGAAGTAGATATCCACAGTATAAATTATAATTTTTTTTCTGTTCGGTGGCCGTTGTGTACCAAGCAGGTTTGACGGTCGTC